AATATATCGTGATATAAATTTTGGCCATATCGTCCAGCCCTACTTGAACAATAAACAAAAGCAGATAGAAAGATACACCAAATAATATTTTGAGCATCTTTAGATCTTTATTCTAACCTGTCTACTGAAAAAAATCTAAAAAAAAAAAAAAAAAAACAAAAAAAAAAAAAAAAAATATAAAATATATATATATATATATATATATATATATATATATATATATATATATATATAAAAATATCGAAATGCACAAAAATATGAATAAATGAATGAATATTTGTTTCATTTTATATATTTATTTATTTATATTTGTGCTATGGCTCAATGTACAAGGCTAGGCCACAACACAGACAATAAAGTACTTTTAAAAATATATAAAATTAAAATTCCAGAAATATTTATACCACCCACCCAAAATTCTGTCATCATTTACTTACCCTCATGTTGTTCTAAACCTGCCTGCATTTATTACTTCTGCAGAACACAAATAAACACACAGAATTTTGAAAAATGTGCCAGTTTCTTTTTCTAAAAAGGTTCAATGTTGAATTGGTCCCTGCTAAATTTCACTGTATGGAGAAAAGCAGTTAAAACATTTCTCAAAATATCTTCTTTTGTGTTTCACAGAAAAAAACAGAACGTTATACGGGTTTGGAACAACATTCTGGGTGAAAGAGATTTTCCATGAATATCATCTCATATGTGCCATGCAACGTGTCCAAATACCAGCAAATTCCCAGCTGTCATTCCCTGTTCCCACATTGGAAACAGTAATTATTAGCTTACTAGACGTTTTTATTTTTTTTATAATGTGCTTAATTTCACTTATGGAAAACTGCTGGCAGTACAGGCTCACTGATGCACTGGGCAAGATGCCCGCGGGTTGCTCTGGTTTCAAGGCTGGTCCAGGTGCCCAGCGCCAGCTGCAACAAATGCCAGAGCTTGGGGAGTCATTACACAGCTCGCCCTCTCCCTCAACAGACAGGTCAACTCTAGGAATTTGTTTTTCCGAAACTTTTATTCGGCATAATAACCATAGAGAACTTATTAAAAACAAGATCTAAAGGAAACGCTACATCTAGGTCCACAGCAACTTGATCTAAATCTGCAGAAAATACAAAACGTTACCAACATGTGCTCAGGTACCAGATAAAACCTGCTATTGTCTTTTCTCTTTTTACTCCGTGTGCTGAACTTTGCATGAATAGGTAACGGAGCTTTCAGATGTTTTACTGAATGACTTATTTAAGACCAAGGCTGTTTATAAAAGATAAGCCTGTGCTTATTATGACATCACAGAGCCTGTTTGCTTATTATGACATCACAGAGCCTGTTTAGCCTTTGTTGGCCTTATCTCTCTGTGCCTACGGTCCAGCTCTCACCACACCACCTACATGGACACAGATTGTGCCTAATTTAGAGGACAAGCTTGAGTCACATGCGAGCCGGGAATCTGTTGTCGCGTCAGCTGCCCTGATGAATGGTTCCTCGCTGTGCAATTGTTTGGATCCTCACATCGGCCAGATCCACACACTCATCCAAGCACACTTAATATACACAAACTCATATTTCAGCCCAGTGGATTACAGCTAGGCAGGATACACAAATCAGGGGCTTCCCAAGGCATTCGATCGTTTACGACTGCAATCAGTATTTTAGTATTCGTGTGATATCTTTTCAATCTTTTGTTTGGCTTTGTTCAGGTTGCATATTATAATCATCTACCAAAAGTTTATTTTCAGTTCCCCTTTCAGTTCCTGCATGGTTGACAGCCAGTGACACAATAAAACAAACAGACACAACAATACAACTGTACTTCTGCTGTTTGTTGTGTGCAAATCGTCTGAAAACACTTGTAAATGTAGATGGTCACACAGTGTATTACACATTATACATTCATGTGAACAGAAATATAAATAATAAATATTTATATAAAATTTTTAAAAAATTACAAATATTTTTTAGAAATAAAAATTATAATGATAAATATTTTTAACAATAAATAAATAAATATTAGGCCCTTATAAATAATATAACATTTTCTTATGTTTTTAAAGAAGTCTCTTATGCTCACCCAGACTGCATTTATTTATTTGAAAATAATATATATTATTTTACATTATATATATTACATAATATACATAATTTTTAATGCTGTAATATATTATGAGATTTATACATCTGGGTATGGGTCAAAATCATCGATTTTTCTTTTATGCCAAAAATCATTAGGATATTAAGTAAAGATCATGTTCCATGAAGATATTTTGTACATTTCCTACCGTAAATATATCAAAACTTAATTTTTGATTAGTAATATGCATTGCTA